AAATACAAATTATTCACCACCTGAATAAAACTCAGCCTTGGGATGATAATATTTCATTCAAAGTTCAGAAAATACACAATGTAAAACCATCTCTGATTACTTCCATTCTATTAATTAAATGCACAACTGAAACTGCAAATAGCATCAATCTATTCTGACCTACATCATATCATTGCTACATTTCTCTTTTGGAAAATGGCTTAGCCATAACCATAATTTTAAAATCAGCATGTGTTTATTGGGTAATCTCTTTTTTCTCAGTTATATGATAAACAGTATCATAAAGCCTAATTTCTCTAACCTCAAGAAGTTTGCAATCTAGTTTGGTCATGTACGTTTTTTGTGTTCAGGGACCTTGTCTTTGTTCTGACTGTAAGAGAAGGATAACATAGGAGACTTGACCTGGATCTTCACTAATAGTTAGTATTTAGGTAGCTGAGCACAGTGTCTGAGCACAGGTATTCTAGAATCTTGCAGAGGATGGATAGAATACACCAAAGGAAGACTCCATTCTTGGCCAAATACAAACATCATACTGAGTCAGAAAATACTCTCTGATGAAACCGGTAATATCAACTTCTTACCAGCCTTCAAATACTTGACAATGAATGTAGATATGCACTACACGTTGTCCTAAGTACTTTACATGTATTCTCACATTTAATCCTCGTAACAGCTCTGAGGGGTAAGCGAATGATATTATTACCCCAATTTTGCACATCAGAAAACTGAGACACAGAGGGATTAAATAACTCAGAGACACAGAGGGATTAAATAACTTACCCTCAGTCACCCAGCTAGCAAGCAGCAGAACTGCAATTTGAAGCCACCTTAGCAGCAGCATCCTTTATCTTAATCACAGCACTATACTGCCTATGACTCTCAAGACCCAGGCAAAAGAGAGATACATATATATGAAGGACTACAGAATAAAATGAAAGAAAATGGAATGGGATGGGTTCTTGTGAGAGAGAAAGACATATAAAAGCCGACTTTTACATGGACTTTGTCCAAGAACCGCTTGTAGGATGCACTGGCACCAGAAATGCCTATACAAGAAGACTCAGCTCCGCCAAGCTCCAAAACAGGTTTTAACATTATAAAACAGTATTTACTATACTATAATTTCAATGCTTATTGACAGGGGAAGCAAACTCCTACAAAAACTAAAAAAATAGAAGTTTAATATTTATAAATAGCAGACAATCTGAAAAAACGGAATATGCCTGGCTATAGAAACCAACAGTTACAAACAGGTTCAATCAAAGTACATAAATTGAATCCTGAGGCCTCAGTTTTTAAAAATTTTCTTGATGGATATTTAAGCAACCTTACTACATAAAAACTGCTTTCTAGATGTAGGAATAAAAAACTTAGTAAGAAGTAATCCTTATTATCAAGAAATGCCTTCTGTAAAATTACATATATATGATTCTCTAACATCTGATGACTACTTTGAAAACAGTATTTACTCAACATCTTACTTTTGTTTCTGGATTTCTAAGTGCTTCTAAATACTCAGTTTTTGCTCTTCAAGTTTGTAGCGTACACCATCCAATTTTCAGACCTACCTAAATCCTTTAGGACCAAAGGTTTTAACTTAATTTCCTCCCTAACCAAAGGGGAACCAAAGTTTTTCCCATTAGTGAAAGAATCTCTATATAAAATAAAATAACAGTCTCATTAATTTGTTAAATTCTTTCAACCTACAATCTCTCACATCATCTGTAGTAATTCCACACAGTTTAGGGGACTGTTAAGGAATAATCTGTGAAGAGAGAACGGGGGCAGAAAATGTTGCTTCTCTTACTCCAGTAGGATAGTTTCACTGAGGAAGGAAAATTTCGAATCAAACCAACAAGTTTTAATAAGTCACTGATGAAAATCTCCAAAACGATGCTGATCACAAGGCAAATCATTAACTGGGCTCCTGGAGACCCAGGAAGAGGAAGATTTTTTTTTATTGGATAAAATGAAAATATTTTACTTTTGAAATTTTAACCATGCCACCCTTTAGTCATTTATATGCAATTAAGTAATCTCCTCACAGTCTGAGCCAAAATATTACAAAAATATTTTGCTATTTTCATGGATTTCTCAAATATTAAATACTTCGTTATCACTGCGTATTAACTCTTTTTTTTTAAGTCTTGTCAGAGAATATTTTAAGATTCATCATCTTTATGCCACCTGGTTTAAGATCTGGCCGGAAAACTGCCACCCTACACTGATCAAAGTGTTCAACAAATAAAAAACGCAGGATTTGACCATATAAGGATTCCAGTGCTTTCTATCTTTATTCTAAAAATACATATGCACAAGATCTTCTGAAATAATGTCTTAACTAGTAAATTAATGTGGGGGTTAGGGGAATACTATTTTCCCCTTATACACACTACAGTAAACAAAATAAAACTGGTTTGTTGACTCCACTATTAAAAGCCTCCCTCATGGGAAGGGTATTATGTGCTATAATCTACAGTTTAAGTTATGAAAAATTAAAAGATGGAAAGCGTTTTAAAATTTAGAAGATGGAAATTTTTTTCAATCTGTTAAAAAATAATTCTTTTTATAAAAAATTATTAACTAGAACATGCATTTCTTTCAACTTCACTTTACAACTTACAATGAATACTACCCATTCTAACACAAAGAGTGGCCTCTGGAAGCTCAATTCTCTCATCTCCCAATTTAATTGGCTCTAGACAGTCTGATGGGACAACAGTTCAAATTCTTCAAAAAAGGCAAGCATCTAAATCACTTCCAGATCTGCCTCGGACAGTCTAAAAGTCTTGCATTAATAAAATAATTATGGCAATTGTAAATTATGTTGACATGCTTACCTATTAACATAATTGCAAAAACAAAGGTAGTCATCTCTAAAGAAAAAGAGAAAATAGAACAATAATGTAAACAAAAATTATTTTGGACTTAATCTCATCTGTGAATAATTAGAAGAATTTAAGTTGATTTGGAAGGGGTGGAGAAAGACTGAGGAGATAGGATTACAGTGTCTTTCACTTTGATGTATTAAAAATGAAGTAGAAGTTACAAAGTTTAAACACACATACACATGCACACACCCATACCCTTCAGCCATCAACAGCAACTAACCTACCTGTCCCATTTTTCATTTGATTACAGTTAATACAAATAAGAAGAGTTATATTCAGTTCTTTGATTAAAACAAAATGAAAACAACTATTTTCACTCTTCTTTAACTCAAGATAACTCTTTCCATTTTTTGGTCTATTTGAACTAATTTATAGTTCAAGAGAAACTAACTCATGTGTACCACTAAAAATTTGGTCAAAATATCTCTTGCCATATTTTAAAATAAATGCCTAATCCAAAATTCTGTAATAGAAAAAATTTATGGTATGAATTCCATCAGAAGGATGGTTCCACTTTATATCTTCTAATGACTAAATTTTATAGCCAAATTAATTTTCCATATTTTTTACCTGCTATATATTTTTATAATAAAGGCATTGCATTTCTATTGAAATTCTTGTTGAGGAAAATTCAGGAGTTACATACAAGCATAAAACAATTCTATTCAGAGATCATTTTAAATTATTTGGTGTATTTACTTCCATTTTACATAAACATATGTTTTTCAAAAATACATATTTTTTTCATTAACCCATTGTTTTCTAAACTGATATTTGAAGAACATTCTGGGAGATAGTAGTATCTATTCCACTAAAAAAAAGTGTTCTATTGTTTAAAATAGGTTTAAGCAAATTTAACAAATGTCTTTTTGAGGACATCTCAGAACCTGTAATGAGCTAACACTTCTTACGCTTTTTCAAGTAATAATAAATGACCTGGGAAGTAAGTTATAATAAATCTGGGTAGCAAGCAGTTTCCAAAATTTATTTCCTAATTAATATATTTATTTTCCTTGTTCATCTGTTAGCTTCCAGCTTGGGAAATGTATAAAGTACATTATATTAGAAGGATACTCTTATATAAAATTTTTTTAAACCATGATTTTAAGGTCGTAAATTATTACATCTAAATATCTTATAGTTCACTAGATTCTTTCCAAATTCTGTTGTCATTTTATATAAATCTTATTATATGTGTGTAACTATGCACTAAGGATAAAGTGCTAACCTTCTACAGAAAATGGTACGAAACTGCCTAAATGGCTACACATTTCACGTAGCACCTTTTCACTGAACTTGCATCAAAAGTATGTTGTCATTTGTTTAAATATTTGTTAATATGGCACATTTTCTTACTTGTTAATTTATTTTAATTTGCATTTCTCTGCATAAGAGTAAGGCTGTATTTTTTTCATATTTTATCAGCCATCTGCATTTATCCTTCCTCAGATTGGATTTCAGTTCTCTCCTCCATACTTTTTGATCTCACTCATTTCATTTCTTGATCCTTCTCTTGAGATCTGAAAGAGTTCCTGAAGCATACTCTTTACTTCACTCAGTTTTTAAAAACATGAATTCTTTCTTGCCCCCTCTGCAGATCTGAGTCCCACCTTGTTTTAGTGTTCCTTGCAATCTTCCCAAACCTTTAGAGAAGCAGTTTGTTCTCCTTAGGGCTCTTTGCTGAAGTTTCATAAATATCTTATCTTCTACCTTCTGTTATGCTACACTGTTTTCTAAGTGTTCCAGTCATTATAAATTTCAAAACATGTGCTTTCCTCTTGCATCTTTAGGATGATAGGCCCTCACCTGGCATAGTTTTCTTAAATTAGGTCCCAAGTTGTTTGAAACCTTTCTATTGCCTTTCTGTAATGATGATGGCATCTACCACCAAACAGAAGGTTTGGCCTGTTCATTATGACCTTAGATGATTATAGACATCCCTTTTCAATGCTATAGCAAGAACGGAGAAAGATGTGAAGAGTCAGAAGCCCAGTTCTCAGTGACTGTGATATATTCATTTAAAGCTGATCTTCTGGACTGCAGCAGGACCTTCTTCTTACACATTGTTAATCAGCAAAAGGAACACTTGAAAACTAAAATGCCTACCATTGAGTTCTCTGTCCCCATCTTGAGCCTTTTACAGGAGGAAACCCCTTCCTTTCAGGATGCAGTAGTCAGCTGCTCCCCGTCTCCCAGGTTCTTGCTACTTTCTATGACTTACAGCTGCTGGCTGGATGGAGCAAGACATAAGAAGAGAATGGAGACACACAGAACAGGAGGTCAGGAGGCAGCATGAGTGATGGTAATGCTATAGCGTCCTCAGAAAAACAGCACCCCTGCAGCAGATGGAGGGCTGCCCGGTTTTCTAGCCGTTAAAAGATCATGGGTCTCTGAGCAAGCAGCAGACGTTATAAAACAACAACAATAACAACAAAAACTACCTCTACATTTCTTACTTTGGATAGCTGGGTTTTCTTTTTCATGAGACAATCTGTTTTTTTCCCAGTCCAGCTCCTCATAGGTGAAAGAAATGCATCAAAATTTCTAGCAATTGTCAGTCTTTTTTGTTGTCATCTTCCCCCTGGGCCTTCACTGGTCTTTTAGCAGAAAACTGGAAGAGGCTGTGTCAACAACTGCAAAGTTATTTGAAGTTTTATTTTATTTTATTTTGACAAATACTAATTGTACACATTTATGGGGCACATAGTGATGTTTCAATAAACATATACAGTGTGGAATAATCAAATTGGACCTCTCTAAAATTTAAATATAAGTAAAAATCTGATTATTTCACTTCCAAGCACAAGCACTCATTTGATTAACTCAAATAACTTTATTTTAAATAAATTTATTAACGTTGAAAAGAACACATAGGAGACTAGAAGGCACTGTTTATCTAGAAGTCACAAATATCACTAGTGGCAGCAATGCACATTCCTTTTCTTCAGTGGTAACTGGAACCAGAAGACTGAGAAACAGCCTTTCCCTTTAGTTGAAGTTGAAGGTGATTAACCAAAAAATAAGCACTATCCTCTGTCTTCAGAGTTTTAATTATCCCATATTTTTGTTACGTACATGTTATGTTATTTTAAAAGAGATGGGAAGAGTTTTTCTGAAGATCTATGTTAGACACATTTTAATAGTGATGAAAACCGTCTGAAAAGATTCACCTGCACACCACTGCAATTTAGAGCAAATGAGGTAGAGTCCGAGAAACCTGAGTTTAAATCCTGGCTCTACTATTTAATAGCTGTGTGACCTTGAGCAAGATAATTAACCTCTGTATGGCTCTGATTTCTTTTCTATCAAACGAAGATATTAATAATGCTTGCTTCATCAGATGGTTATCAGACTTAAAAATGAGAGAGAAGGCAAGTAACATAGTAACTGTCAGATAAGTGCTCTACAAATGTTTGGTGTTCTTATCCCCCCACATATTATAAAATAAAATACTCAATATGAACCAGAATTCCTTTAAAGAAGGATCCTTTAAAGAAGACTAAAGGTTATTTTTAGTAATCATCCACAGGGGTTCGTTAGCAACTGATAATTTGTTTACAATTTTTTTGCACCTAGATTATTATAGTTGGTGCTATCCAATATATGTTAGGTATATTCTGGGATATGTGAATATGGATTCACAAGGAATGTGAATCCTTTGTCCTTATTGATTACATTTCAGTATAACAGATAACTGAATAGACTACCGAGAAGGAAAAAATAAAAATACTGATGCTTTAGAAAATAGACCTCAAGTTCAAAAGCTTACCCTAGAGCAGAGGTTCTCAAGGGGATCACGTAAAGAGTAGCTTTTTCTGAAAATAAGTTATCGCATTTTTGGCTTGCACAATGACTAGGGAGCATGTCTTTCTTTTAACGGGCCAAGAATAGGCTTGCCAGGTTTACTGCAATACAGGACAGTGTCCCAAACAAAGAATTTTCCAGGGTGCCTCACGACTCTTCAGTGAATGGCTGGAGACTGATGAGAGTGAAAAATATGTTTATAATTATCTCAGTCTAGAACCTTACTGTATTTTATATATAAACACATAGTATTTATCAAAGATTTTAAATACACACTAGATTCCAAGAAGGCAACAAACTATGTAAATCAAGAGATTTGTTTTGTTCAGAGTCTTGTCACCATTATCAAAAACTTGCCTCCACAATCTCAATACCCCTTGTTATTTCTGAGTCACTGATACAACAAACCTTTTTCAGCCTGCATTTGTAACTCTGGTGTTCACAGTGATGCTACATATGAGTACAATAATCTATCTACTTCATTATTCTTACTGTAATTGTGTCCACATATTTCCATATTCAAATTCATTATTTTTGAAAATGCACTTCTTAAACGTTTTTATAAAATTATTTTCATATATTTCTCCTTTATATTAGGGTACAATTAGAGTAGAACCTCATGTCCACTTTTTATCATTCCAGGATACTAAAGGACTTATTCAGTAGATGAGGCATCTTGGGGCATGCTAGAAGGAATAGAGAGCTTCACAGTAATCCTTAAATATATGAAGACAGCCCAGGGGAAATGCAAATAACTCAAACAGTTACTTTCCTTCAACTACAGATTGAACAGGAAATAAGTTTAACTTGCAGTAAGAGGAACGTAGGTTAAGTACTCTGATCAGCATCCTGAAGAAAAAGGCTGGAAAATCAGTAGAATGACTGAGAAATTTCTGGTCAATATTTCTAAGCCATTTAAGAATGAGATAAGTAAAGTTTTCTTAAAAATCAAATTGGACTGAAAATTGGAGCAATTCTATAATTATTCATTTATTTTTTTTAAATTTCAAAATGTTGAATTCATACTGAATTCAATCTTCAGGTTTAGTGCTTTTACAGTGATTTGGAGAAATGGAGGGTGAGGTGTGAAACACCTTCAGAGAGTGTCTGAAGTTTGATGGTGGCATGTGCTGCTAGTCTGACCATGACCCGCTCTTCCTCCCCTCCCCCTAAATAAACTTTTAAAAGAAACAAAAAACAACATTAGTCTTGAAAACAACAAAGCTTATTTTGAATATCTCTTAATCCAAAAACAATAAAAGTTACTTTACTTATGAATTCACTATCATTCATTACATTAAAGATAATACTATATAAAAGATATAGCCTCCATACATATTATCCTCATGGAGAGAATATGGTATTTTATGAACTGCCATAAAACCGCCTGCATCTTTGATCAGAAATTTTAATTTGGGATAAAAAATAGTTCAATCTTTGATATTCACTGTAAAGTAAAATTCACTTAAGTGGTTTGTATTCTTAGCTTTACAACTGGACACAGTATTTCAATAAATTAAAGTCTCTGGAGGTAGCAATCACACATATAGGTCAAGCTTCAAACCGGCATGAGTCTTTCCCAAAGCAACTTTTCATTTTCACTTCATGAACTCCATGCTATGAAAAATTTAGTAAATAAATGAGTTGCTTTTTTAAGTAGTAAACATTTTAAGTAATAAACATTTGCTCATTTTTAATAAATTAAACACATACAATTTCAAGTTAGTACTTTGACCAAGATAATATAATCAGTGATACCAATCTAGGTTTGCAGGTCCCCGGAGTCTGGAAACTCTAGGCTGGGGACCACGAATCCACAATATATTAGGTTCTAAGAACATAAAATATGGCTATTAAGGGCAAACCAATTTTTCACAAAAAGACTTTCAATTTTAACCACCTAATATTTCTTTGTCTAAATCCCAGAATTTTTCTTGTAGCTGGAATTCCACACATGGTCTCCATATCCCCCAAAGAAATGTTCTTTCCAGATGAGTTCCTAAGAACAGAAATATGCTTCTTCGAAGTCAGCAAGCTATTTATAAAAACTACAGTAGCTCCCCCGGGAAGATCAATTGGCAAGTATAAAATTACCTTATATATAGTCTAGTAGTTGGTCTGCCTTTTCTTTAAGGAGGAGAAATAAGACAGTGATATCAAAAGATAAGTTACATGGAATGCAATAATTTTAATGTGGGTGCTTGCCATTACAAGAAGAAAATGCTACTGATTAATTTTCATGACCCTGTAAAACATCGAAATCCCCTAATGAACAGGCAAGGACATAAATGTAAGAAAACCAATAATGTACTTTTGTTACCATGACACCCATTTCGAACTAGAAAAAGCAAGATCTTAATTGTAAAAGTATCTTATTTTAGTAATATTAAAATATAGCTTATCAATTTATATATTTTTTGATCTATAAATGGCAATGGTTAATTATATCTAAAATTTCTATCATTCCTTAAAATTAGACAGAGTAATGTCCATATGTGTGTATACATACATGTTTTTCTATCTATACAGTTTAATAACTTTTCTTCCAAATATTCACTTAAAACCACATATTATATTCAAAATGTTGTTCAACTGATATGGTCTGTACACATCTAAGAAGAATGGAGGCTGGCCCTAAAGAACGAAGACAGCTATGCTAGTGTGTCCCAGCTGAATACTGTACACCTCCTTACACCTAATCCAGTTGTAGTAACTACACTCATTTTGTATTTGTAAGAAATACTAACTGCACTGAATACAAATAGGTAAGGGAAAATGTGTTTGCCCCTTTAGCACAAGTTACCTGAATAATCTCTTATCTTTCACCATCTTTATTTCCAATCCACACAGCCACTGCTCTTCGGTGGCTTATATTCACACAACAAACAATTACTGATAACACACTATGAGCCTACATTATGCCAGGCACTGAGTGTACGAAGATGTACAGGACAAACAAGGTCTTCATAACTCGTAGAGTTTACAGGTTTAAATCTGGTTGGAAACAATAAATATTTGTGTATACGCATGGTTGTGATTCCTTATTTTATTTGTATAGTGTTTACCACGTGCCAAGCATTAACCTATATGTTTTACAATGATCTCAACTGACTCCTTTATGTTTGCATAAATATATAAATATAAAATTTCAAGTGACCTTCCAATAATTAAAGAACAGAAAATAACAACAAATATTATAAGATAAAATATGATTAATAGCTGCATAAATTAGAGGTATGTGTTCAAAGAATATCAGTTACTGGACTACAAGGAAAGTAAATAATTTTTAAAATTATTATAGACTAAAAGTAAATCCATGTCAAGGATAAAAACATGCTCTAATACTAATAGCCAACACTTCTCCAAAACTAACTTCTTGGAAGTTAGGAATAGGTCATTGAATCCTATCCTTTTTCTCTAAGATACATGTGTCTACTTAGCATCCACTGCAAAATTCAAATCAGAACTATATTTTTAACATGTCATTTAAATAAATAGAGATTAACTATATTTTTAATTCCAAAGTCCAACAAGTTATAACTCACTCAAAATTATTTTTGTCACCAGACTTTCATAGAAACCAATGAACTGGTTTGACAAAGAGTCACTCTCAGTTTTCTTATCAAAATTACTTACATTTGGAAATCTAGTATACCCCTCTACGAGGACGTTAACTTTCATGGTTTGACTGATGAAATTTGCAGACTCTCCTGTGTTTACCAAAGGGGCTTACATGATGGGAAATAATTCTTATGAGCATTTTCCCCTTTCCAGCAGGAAGACATTTATAACATTCTCTAATTGGAAAAAAAAAAAAAAAAAAAACCTGAAAATTCCCAGTGGAAATAGAAGTATCTGTTTATTTACCTAATAAACGTTTAGTGAGTACCTTCTACAAGTAGTAAACATTTACAGGGCACATGCCAGTCATTGCACTAGCCACAGCCACACAAGCAAGTCTATTTATTGCCCTCCTGGGAAATGGAAGAAAGAACACAAATACAAGCATATTCCAAGAAGAAAAGAAAAGGACCCATGGAGAGAGAGATTTAAGATACAAGAACAATCTGGGATATCTGTTTGGAGTAAGTTTCGAAGAAAATGGGGCTGGTGAGGAGGGCGTAGGAGGCTAGACCACAGGTAGTAGGATCCAGTCTTGGACAAGAGCGGTATACTCAGCGGTACTACTGAGGTAGGGGTCATTAACCTGAAGACCACAGATGCCAAAAAGATTCACGCACAGAATGAAGGATAGAAATTTGATGGGAAAAAGATTTTCTATTTTTATGAACATTTAACTAAGATCTAGCGTTTCTTTATGAATATAGGTAACAAATCACAGTACAATTACCAATACCTGTGACCTTGCCACCGGTGGAAATCACAAACATTTTCACCTATCTCAGTTGTTACAGATATCTTGAAAGATTGTTTACATTACTACTTTGAAAATAACACAGTCACGCGACCTGCCACTAGACTTTGTTTCACACATCATAAAGACACACGATTATAGCACAATTGTGCTTTTTATATTTTTGAAAACTGTATTCTATTCATTAATTTCCTTTGTAATGCTATATATATACATTTTTTTTTTCATTTAAAAATTACCTTGAAGAGGCAGTCCTAGGTTTCCCTAGACTGCCAAAGGGATCCATGGCACAAAAAAGGAAGAGCCCCTGCTCTGAAGCATGAGGAAAAGGATTAAAAAAATAAGGGCAGGAAGGATTATGTTGTAATCTCCCTCCATTGTCTCAACTCTTTAGTCAAAGCCCACTGCACACAAGAGCCCCGAGTCCATGGTGCTGTGGGAGGCTGAAGGAATGGCATCAACAAGAACTGGGAGGAAGGGAAAAAAGCAAGTCTGAGGCAATCCTGTAAGCGCTGTAAAATGAAGGGTTGGAACAAACAGAGAGAGAATATAGTAGATCCTAGCACAGGCAATAGCTGGTCTAGGAAAATCACTGAGCACTAGCCTTGTACTTAATTTCTAAAAGCGCCTTCTCTCCTAGCCATTCCTTACTTCTTGTTCCCACACTCCTCAGTCCTCTGTTTAGGACAGCTCACAGAAACTAAAACAAACATACACACATAAACCAAAAAACCCCTCCTACCTTATTATGCCCCACCACATCTAATTACCAAACTGCATCTGTGGCCAGATGTACTCTCTGCTTTCCCTCAACTGGATAAACAGGCTAGGTACCTACCTGAGCCCATCCCCATGCCCCTATTTTGGTATGAGATCCCTTCTTCTCTGGCCAACTCAAGCACAGCACTACAGCAGTTTCCCCTTCTCTCTTCTCTCTACTAGATCATTCCCATGATGTATTTAATTTTAAAAAACAAAATTGAAAACAACAACAAAGAAAACTCTCTTGACCTCATTTCCTATTCCAGCTGCCACTAATTTCTCAGCTCCCTTTTTCCTCAAGAGAACAGTCTAAATCTGCTGCCTATACTTCGTTCCCCTGCCTTGACCTCTACTGAAACCAACCCAATCAGGCGTCCCTGGACACTCCAACTTGCTTTTCTCAAGGGCATCCGTTGACTCTCCAAGTTGCTAAACTTTAAACAGGACTTAACTGAGGTTATCAATTCCTTCTCTTTCAAATACTTGCATCACATGGCTGCCAGGACACAAATGTACTCCTGATTTTCCTATACCTCGCTTTTTCTCATTCGCCTTTGCTCATTTATTTCCCCAACTTTCAAACCTTGGAGTGTTCTGAGCTCAGTTCTCATATTGCTTTCTATCTACATTCACTCCCTACACCTACATGGTCTTGTACCACTTAGCGGCTTTAGGTAAAACCTACGTATTAACAAAACTCAAATTTTTATCTGGAGCCAGCCTGAACTCCAGCCTCCAATATCCATTTTGATATCTCAGCATATCTAAAAATGAATTCCTGGTTTCACCCATGCCTTCACCTCTCAGTCCCTCTCAGCCTTATGAATGGGAACTCCATCATGTCATCTGGAAAAATCTTCAGAATTGTTCTGGATGCCTCCCTCTCATTTACTCCCTACATCGAATTCAAATCCTTTCTATTTGTCCTTTAAATACATCCTGAATTTTACCTTTTCTCATCAGCTCCACCCCTGCCACCCTGGCCCACCTGGAATCGCTTCAGTAGCTTCTAGCAGGTCTCTCACTCCCACCCATTGTCCTAACATTCCTCTCCACGCAGCTGCCAGAATCATCAATGATAGTTCATATTATTCATGTGATCAAAACATTCCAATGACTTTCCATATCACTAAAAATAAAAACTAAAGTCCTTAAGACTGTCTGTAAGACCAATCATGATCTTGGTGCCTGTTAACCTCTCTGAACTCCCTCTTACTCGTTTCCTCTCAGATCCTTCCACTCCGGGCACGCTGGCCTCGTTGCTGGTCTTTAACCGCACTGGGTACATTGCTGCCTTGGGTTGTCTGCCCTTGCTGTTCACTTCACCAGAATTGTCTTCCCCCAATATAAAATGAATTGTACCTCACTCCTAAACCATGAAAGTCAAAGCAGTGATTAATTCTTTAAAATAACCATTTATCCCCCATTTGCATTTCTGTAAATTGGGCATGTTGGGGGGTTAATTATGAAGAACTATTACTTATAGCAGTTCAATGAATTTTAATTCCGCACAAACGTCTTTCATAGATTCAGTGAAAGAGCTTAACTGAAATCTAGCTTCCCTTTTCTTCTAATTCCTAATAGAATCCTAAAACTGTAATAGGCTAGAATTGTATTTACTTACTAATACTACACCTGTATTAAATTGGATTATTTCTTATGCTTACTTCCCTGAATTTTTCTAATTTTTAATTTTTGTAGGTACATATGAAGTGTATACATTTATGGGGTACATGAAATATTTTGATGCAGGCACTCAATGCATAATAATCATGTCAGGGTAAATGAGGTAACCAATATCTTAAGCATTTATCATTTCTTCGTGTTACAAAAAAACCCAATTATACTCTTTAGTTTTTTTAATGTACAATAAATTATTGTTGGCTGCAATCATCCTATTATGCTATCAAATTGATCTTATTCATCCTGTATATTTTTGTAGCCTTTACCCATCCTTACTTCCCACTCCCAATCTCACCCCACTATCTTGCCACCCAGAGGTAAACATCATTCTATTCTGTATCTCCACCAGTTCATTTGTAGCTCCCACAAATGAGCAAGAACATGCAAAGTTTGTCTTTCTGTGCCTGGCTCATTTCATTTAACATTATGTCCTCCAGTTCCACGTATGTTGCAGCAAATGACACAGTCTCATTGTTTTTTATGGCTGAATAGTACTCCATTGTGTATCGGTACCACATTTTCCTTATTCATTCATCTGGTAATGGACACCTCCGGTTGCTTCCAAATCTTGGCTATCATGAACAGTGCTGCAATAAACGTGAAAGGGCAAATACCTATTCAATATACTGATTTCCTTTCTTTGGGTAAATACCTAGCAGAGGAATGGCTGGATCAGACGGTAGTCCTATTTTTACTTTTGTGAGGAACCTTCATACTGTTTTCCATAGTGGCTGTGCTAATTTACACAAACACGAACAGTGTACAAGGATTCCCTTATCTCTACATCCTCAACAGCATTTGTTACTGCCTGTTTTTTGGATAAAAGCCATTTTAACTGGAGTGAGTTTATATCTCATTGTAGTTTTAATTTACATTTCTCTGATGATCAGTGATGTCTAGCACTTTTTTACTTACCTGTTTGCCATTTGTATGTCTTTTGAGAAATGTCCCTTCAGATTTTTTGCCCATTTTTGATCAGATTATTAGACTTTTTCCCAGTATTTGAGCCCCTTTTCTGGTTATTTATTCCTTGTCAGGTGAGTAGTTTGCAAGTATTTTCTCCCATTCTGTAGGTTGTCTCTTCACTTTGTTGACTGTTCACCGTACAGAAGCTTTGTAACTTGATATAATGCCATTTGTCCATTTTTGCTTTGATTGCCTGTGCTTGTGGAGTATTTCTCAAGAATTTTTGCCCGGTCCTATGTCCTGGAGAGTTTACCCAATGTTTTCTTTGAGTAGTTTCATAGTTTGGGGTGTTAGATTTGTCTTTAATCTATTTTGATTTTATGTTCATATACTGTATTAGTCAGGGTTCTCTAGAGGGACAGAAATAATGGAATATATATATATACACACACACACACATATATTCATATATATATATATATATAAAAATAAAGGGGAGTTCATTAAGTATTAACTCACACAATCACAAGGTCCCACAATAGCCTGTCTGCAAGCTGAGGAGCAAGGAGAGCCAGTCCGAGTCCCAAAACTGAAGAACTTGGGAGTCCGATGTTCGAGGGCAGGAAGATTCAGCACAGGAGAAAATGTAAGCTGGAAGGCTAGGCCAGTCTCCCTTTTCACATTTTTCTGCCTGCTTACATTCTAGCTGTGCTGGCAGTTGATTAGATTGTGCCCACCCAGATTAAGGGTGAGTCTGTCTTTCCCAGCCCACTGACTCAAATGTTAATCTCCTTTAGCAACATCCCCACAGACACACCCAGGATCAACACCTTGTATCCTTCAATCCAATCAAGATGACACTCAGTATTAACCATTACATATATGATAAGAGATAAGAATCTAGTTTCATTCTTCCACATATAGACATCTAGTTTTCCCAGCACCATTTCTTGAAGAGATTGGCTTTTCCCCCATGTGTGTTCTTGGCACCCCTGTCAAAAACAAGTTCACTGTAGATATATAGATATATGGATTTACTTCTGGGTTCTCTATTCTGTTTGACTGGTACGTGCATCTGTTTTACATGCCAGTACCATGCTGTTTTGGTTACTACAGCTCTGTAGCATAACTTGAAGTCGGGTAATGTGATTCCCCCAGTTTTGTTATTTTTGCTCAGGATGGTTTTAACTATTCTGTTCCACTGAAATTTTTAAACACTTTTAACATACTTGATGAGGTAACAAATATTAACACAGATTACTAGAGAAGAAATAATTCTTCCAAATTCCTTCCCTATATAGGCTGATCCTCTGTTATGCCAAAATAATAACACTTCCTGACTCAGTATTTCTTCTTAAAGGATACACATAAATAGACTAGATACTAATATTTGCTTATATTTAGAATTTTAATTAAAAACTGGTTTTGCAAAGTTTAAACAGAAGATATAAACAAGAGACAAAAATTTTAGGTTGTGACTGAAAGAAATACGTATTTCTTTACAAGTTTTGAAAGTGACCATTCTTAAATTAAGAATTTCCGTGGTTATTGTCAGTCTCACCTTTTCTAACCTAACCATTTATTCTGAACTGCCTTAAAGTTCAACTGCCTGATATTGAACTGAAATTTTAAAAAGATACAAATACAGCTTTAAAAATTGTCCCTTATATAACTTTCTACCCTATTATTTACTCTTTAAATTATATAATTAAAACTTCTATGAAATATTTAATCTATGATATATTTATTTTATAAAAGTCTAATCATCAACATTTTGTGATTTTTTTCATCTTTTAGTGTTGATACTCTATTTTGCTCTCTTCATATTGGGTAACGGCAGAGAAATGCTTACAAGAAGCTAACCCAGAAGAACCAGCAGTATTACTAATTTAATTTTTCCTCTTTCTTCTCTGGATTTTCCTGGAAGAAGGACCCGGGTGAAAATATTTGGCTGCTAGGATCTGGCCCACTATTATCTCCTCAGTCACATTCATTAATCTCACTAATTTGCACTCCTGATTAGTGAAAAACATGATTCACTGACAATTATCCAGTGATCAATATGAAATTGATTTGAAATCCAGAGCCACTACTTCTTTCTATTTTCAGCAAATCTTTCTTTCCCAGAGCAAAATCCCGCATTAAACTAAACTGCCTATGGCCCATATTACATGTGAAACAATCTGCGGGGACAGGCACGGAAGTCAGGCAGACATAAAGAAGACAGCAGAGACCAAGAGACCTGGCCAATATCCCCTCTCCAGTATTCTGCTTCAAGCTCCTCTACACAGTACCCTTCCCTCTGGCATGGAAATGGGGCAGGTGGGGAATGTCTTGGATCCTCCCACACTTTCTCCCAGATAATGTAATCTTGAGCAGAGAAGCTGACCAGAGGAAGTCATTCACTTGTAGGATCTCTAGACACTCAGATAAACAGGCAACTGGCTCTAATCCTAAGGCCTCATTGTTTAAATCTTCCTTTGAGCCACTCTGAATCCTCCCAACTAATTCACTTTCCTTACGATTAGTTTCTGTTTCTTGTATCTGTAATAGAGGGAGCTGGCAACAAGAAGGAGCAAGCCACAGTGGAAGAAGAGTCGACGCAGAAGATTCACACATATCAAAAAAAAAGATGATTCAGAATAGAAGGGCTACATTAGTTTCTTTTTTAACCTGCTTTTGTGATGAGAACAATTAAGATAAATTCTTTTAGCAAATTTCAAGTACGCAATACGTATCATCAGCTATAGTCCCCATGCTGTACATGAGATCTCTAGAACTTACTCATCTTCTAGCTGAAAGCCTGTACCCTTTAACCAACATCTCCCCATTTCCCCCCATACTCCAGCCCCTGGGGACCATCATTCTACTCTTTGTTTCTCTAAACTTAGAAAGGTTATGTTTACATTTCACATGTCTTAGAAGTTTCTGGTATAGAGTTGCAGCCCCAGGTCATCCTTCACTATTACTACAAAACTGGAGGTGCACTAGGAAACTGACCAAAGTAGGAGGTGAGTACCCAAAATCAAGGAAGCGAAGGTGAGCTGCACCTCGATGAGAACAGAGGAAATGGCTCGTAAGGCTTTTCACCCCATTATTGCCTGTCAAAATAAAAATAAAATTTATTCACCATACCTCTTTTGAATACAGCAGTGTTTCCAAAAACTTTTAAAGTTTCAAATTTAATTGTCATTGAATAGACTAAACATAAAATAATAACCAAAAGATAAATCTTGAAACTCAAAACTTTGATTAGTTAAAATAAAGGTCTATAAAAATGCAGCATATTATGACCAATGTAACAAGAATAAAAGAACTCCAGTTCTATTATGTTATTACTGAAGAATGGAACCATTACCATTCATCTGAAGTTAGACACCTGAAAGGAACCAAGGCAGAAGAAACACATCAAAGACCCAGTGAAGCATGACTTCAAAAGGTACAGCACAGATGTGAGCTGGGAAGCAGCCTGCTCCTATCCTAGAGCTCAAACATAGGGCTGGCTGTTCACTTTCAAACCAGGAAAATCTATGAACACGATCACCACAAATTGTTTTGATAATAAACTTCCACAGATTTACCTAGAAAGGCTTCCTTTTTATTAATAAAAATAAGTAGGAATCCATATCATGTGTAGTTAAGATCATGGATGTCAGAGTCAGGCTGCGTGGGTTCACCAGCTTGAGTCTTTACTATGTGATTTTGGGCAAGTTATTTAATCATGCTGGATCTTGATTTTTTTTCCAGAGTTAATATAAATATTAAATGCAATTAAATGTTTAAAACATTAAAACAGTGCCTGGCAGAGAGTATGTCCTATTATTACTTGAAAATAACTACGAGTTTTTATGATTCCTGTTTCATGAAATCTGGATATTAAACAGCTAATTCAACAAAACATGCACACATACATACATGCATACATACATACATGCATACATACAGTGTGTATGTGTAGGTATAAGTAAAATGAAAATATCATATTTTAAAAGTAATAAACAGTACTGTGAGGCATTTTATTAATGAAGATAAATAGATTTGTTTTCTCTTGGCTATTTTTCATCCTGCAATTATCACAGAGGAAACCTGGGGTTAAGAGTTCAATTCTAGTTTTCAAATTGTCCTGCAGCTCAATTACAGCTACTAAACACATTCACAGACTAAATGTAATGGCCTTTGGGTACAAAGCATATTAAAAAATAAGTATCCTCTGGAGGTTGCAGTGAGCTGAGATTGGGCCACTGCACTCCAGCCTGGGCAACAGAGTGAGACTCTGTCTCAGGGAAAAAAAAAAAAAAAAAAGTATCTTCAGATGTTTTTACTAAGATTATTAGTATCCAATAACTGGTTAATCACAAAGATTGTATGTACTTGTAAATAAAAGTGAATCAGGGATAACTTACCTTTAAAGTGGAAAATATTTTATGAAAACCATGGTTTTCTAGAAATCTATCTAGGATATGGTATTTAATAAATATTTTTCAGAGTTCTATTTATTTTATACATCAAATATGTGTTAGTTTTACTAAAAACCCCAGTAGGTTAAGATTTATTTAAGACTTCTTTATACTTATCTCCTGGTACAAAGAGGTGTCTGAAGTCACTGGTTAAACAAGCTTTGGATCATTCATTTTA